CACTTAAAAATTAAATCAATGGCATTCTGTAAATGCAAGATAGTTAGATTGGTTGTGTTGTGAATCTAGTGGTCATCATCTTGAATCATTTTGGAGAAACAATAATTCTAAAGAAGTCGTCGGTGAACAATAGAAACAGCAGTGGTCCAAGATGTAAACTCACTGCACCCTTGATGTGGCTATATAATGCGGTGGAAGGCTTTCAATTTCAATATTTTGATACCTATCGAATGAGAAAAATTGATTGATTGTTCAGATTGATCAGATCAGATCAGAACCAAATAATTTAGGTATATAACTTGAAATTTGCAAATCAATCTGATCGAATGCCCTCTTCGACTCTAAATAAATGACATCAACTTGGGTACCTTCATTGAGTGCAAATGATATACAAGTTATATACAAATCAGTTATACATGATTTTGGAATCTCGAAATCCATGTTGATCTTACGATATTATATTTTTGACTGATCTTTCTACCTCTCTGTATAAAATTATTTCCAAAAAATCGGCCAAGTTACACAGAAATGATATAGGTTGGCTCCATTCTACCAAGAGGTAGAATGGAGCTTGTTCATAGGATTGAATTAACAAATTCAATAACAGTTTGCTCAACAACTAAACACAATATCTGGCAACAAAGCCAGGTACCTGTTCTGAACCAATTATCAAATTATTTTTATTCTTCTGCAGCTTCAAGTATGCCCACTGACTATATGTGAAAGTTTTCTTTCCTCATACTCAAAATATCTTCTTCACCAATTTACTTGGTGGAAATGTAATTCATTGAATTATTTCAATCATTCAGAATTTCACTATTTATTATTATCGAGATTATTTTGCTGATGTATATCAATTACTGACTATAGGTCCAGTTGGATAGTTTTCAAACTTTTCAAAAGATATAGAGAATTATCTAAAGTAGAATGTAACTAACTTTTCGTAATATAATGTTATTCTATCTTTTGATGTAATAAAAAATGGTGAAGGTGAGTGTCTAAAACTTTAATATTCAACAAGAAACATTGTTAACCACTTCCAAACAAATATGGGGATATTTGTTTGGGAGTATAAAATGTAACTGCATATTATGTACGAGTTTGTGAACATAATCTTCCCAGACTGGTGTTAACGAAAAAGGAGAACAATGGGGTGGCCAGAACCGATCACTTGATATTAGTCCATTAGAATTTTTTTCTGGGGTCATTCAAAATATAATGACCGAAACAGACAAGCAATTCATTACATGAGACGCGCCTAATTACCTATAATGTTAGATATTAATTTCAAAATTCCCCAATTACTCATTGAGAATACAAGGATTAATTGAATTTTCTCTTATTTGTTTTGGATGATGTATTCAGTAGTAGCATAATGACGTAATTTTATTGAATACATGAAAGTAGGTCACCCTGAAAATATAAAAATATATCAATTTTTTTTGATATCGTTTATTTTCGACAAATAATAATTTTATGAGTTACTTCGTAGAGCTTGTATTCAGTTTTCGTCTCAAAATGATTTTTTTTATTATATTACTTCATAGGGTAACACGTACTCAGTACATTATGGAGTTAAATTATTTTTATCGTTCTCTTGAAATAATTATCATTGTTTTTCACTAGTTCGGACTTCCATTGTCTACTATATAAAATTATTTGAAATCCCTGAAACAAGTAAAAAAGAATAATTAAAAAAGAATAGTTGAAAATAACAATTATATTAAGCAACAATAAACCTGAAATGAAATGATAGTGTCATCACGAAACATTGTCAATCACCTTCAAACAAATTATCATTGTTCTTGTGATGCATTCTTTGGAACCTTCGATGTAGTAATCAATATTACTAGATTTTTTTCCAAACACCAAATCGTTATTATAATAAGGGTAAGAATAATCTTCACTTGGTGATCGAAACACGTGTCGAGGAGGTGTTAAAATAAGGATTTGGCGTTGGGAGAAAACTTCAGTAATATTCAATTATCATTGTATTGATTACATTGTATATATTACGCGAGGAAATTTCTTTCATTAAGTGAAATAAGTTCAACAGCAAAATACACAAACATAAAGTAATTAGTGGGCTGCACAACTGTTCTTTGTTTCAAAAATATTATTTCCAAAGTAATTCATTTCTAAATATTTATTCATATGTTGCAGAAGTTTCTATTAACAGTTATAATCATGAATTTCTTTGTGAAATGAAGAAAAAAAAAGTAATTCACCGAAGGCGTTCCGCCTTTGTTCCTAACTAAATAACCAATACTAGCTCGGCACTAAGTGAACAAAAGCTAGCGGCGATAATGATGAAATAATATTTTGAAAACTTTCTGCTCTCCAAACTTTTGCATTACGTTATAATGTTCCTGCGAAGACAACGTATAACAGTGGATTACCTTGGCTGTAATTGAATTTGCGACAAATTTCCTTGGCTTGAAGAACTGAATTTGCATTTCAGATTATCGGGTGAAAAGAAAAAGCTTGAAGTAATGAGATTGACCATGGATTATGCATGCGCTTTGTTGATACAATTAAGGAAATTTCAAGAACGGCGGAGAGAAGCTTTCCTTCATGAAAGCTAAGGAAATATTGTTTAGTCCCTTCATGCTAATGAGTGAATATTATTATTTCAATTTCTCGGATTTTCTTTCGGAAATTTCAAATGAGAACTTTTGAGGAATATAAACAAAATGTTTATCAGAAAAGAAAAAAACTATTTTGCGCCTAATCAAGAAGTGATGATGGAAAAGATGAGTAAGCAATATCAGTATGGCATTAAGTTAGTGATGAATTGGAACTGACTAGTTATAGTGTGTTCAGAGTTCGCCACTGACAACTGAAAAAATTTCGGGTAGTACAGAAAGACAGATATATTCTTTGGAAAGGATCAGAAATGTACGAGTGTGATATTTTTTTATTTCCAAGGACAAAACACAAGCAGTACAGGAAAATACTTAAGGCGCTCTTAGAGCGGTGCCTGTGCAAAAGTAGCGATTCTCATTGAATTTGAATCGCTGAAGATTAAATCCATTTGGAAAAACGTTCTCAGGGTGTTTATTCCACATGGACGCTGATTTCCAGATGGAAGAGTTCTTAAACAGTAACATTCGAGGTGTATAAAGTTGAACCTCAAAACGATGACCAGCCACAGTACGTTTCGTATTCTGATATGTACAGCTCTTGGTGGAATCAAATGTGCTAAGTCACTTGAACACTTCCCGTGAAAGTATCTATAGAAGAGAGACAAATCTCCTACATTTCTTCGACGTTTCAGGCTATCAAGGTTGTATGTGATGTTCGCTTCTCCAATCAGGCGGATAACTCTTTTCTGGATGGAATCCAGAGCTGCATATATGAGAACAATACTCCAAAGAAGGTCTGATCTGAGCTTCACAGCTTCTAAAGTTGCTGAGGTGTGTACAGTTTTCTGTTTCAGAACAGTGTTCCAAGCTTTTGAAAAGCAGCCTTTGCAATTCCACGGACATGATTGTGCCAAGACATTTTGGTGTCCATTTCAACCCCCTAATAATTTTTTTTAAGCAGAAAGCGCAATTGTCCGACATGACATTATATCCGGTTCGGAGACATTCATCTTCTCGGAGAAAATCGATGCCTGGGTTTTTGAGGCATTGAATTGAACCTGGTTACTTTCATCACAATTCGAAATCACTTCTAGATCCTTATTAAGATATGCGACCTCCTGAGGCCGGTGACGATGTGCCTTCGCAGCCGATGTTCTGAAATCCAAATGGAATGACGGGACAAGTGTGCTGTCGTCAGCAAAACAATATATTTGATTCTCGGTATTTTCCAGTAAGTCGTTGATATACAATAAGAAGAGGGTTGGAGACAATATGCATCCCTGGAAACACCAGCGTTGATGGTGAAAGTATTCGAGAGATATCCATCGACGGCTACTTGTAGGGAACGCTCTTTCAGAAAGCTGAAAGCACAAAAATTATCCAACAAGCCATAGCATCGAGGTTTGACCAGCAAACCCTCATGCCACACACTGTCAAAGGCTTGAGAAATATTGAGCGCCACAGCTCCTGATTCTCCATGTTTCTCGATGGCGTTATTCCAAATATGGGTGACATACGATAGAAGATCGCCTGTTGATCTTTGTTTCCGAAAGCCATATTGATGAACGCTCAAGTAGTTGAAGCCTTCCAAATATTTGAGGATATGATGGTTTGTGACTTTTTTCATCATGATTTTTGATATCTCTGAAAGAAAGAAAGAAATCACAACACAACAAAAAAATATTTTTTGAATGTTTCCTACACTAAATTAGTCAATTTCTACTAATTTTGGGGTGATAAAAACGAAAATAACAATGAAAAATTTTTATTAGCTCTGGTTTTTGAGATACACAGTACTTAATCTTAAAGAGTAGTTATACTATACGTGAAAAGTGAAAGTACATAAAACAATATTGTTATGTTTCTTTTAGAATATTTTAAGTACAAAATTAATAAAAGAAACATTATTCTTAGTGTTTTGACAAATAAAAGAAGTTTGTACCACCAAATTTCAATTAAGTCCATCCGATTCATTGTAAGATCGCTGTCGTTAAGCTTGTCTTTTATAAAACACTTCTGGAGCATCCCTACACACAGACCAGCAGTAGTCTGCAAGCATTGCTTCATTCCAACGGCCCTGATATCTCTGTTCCATTAAGGCAATGTCTTGATGGAATCTTTCTCCATGTTCGTCACTCACAGCTCCACAGTTTTGTGGGAAGAAATTAAGATGAGAGTGAAGAAAATGAATTTTTAAGGACATGTTGCATCCAAGTTGGTAGTAAGCTTAAAGAAGCTCTTTAACCAATGCTGTGAAGTTATCATCTCTTTTGTTACCTAAAAACCCATGTACAACCCCCTTAAAGGCTTCCCAGGCTCTTTTTTCATTTCCTGTTAAAATAATGTCAAAAGCAGGATCATTTACGATTTCACGGATTTGAGGCCCAATAAAGATGCCTTCCCTGACTTATCACTCAACCTGGGAAACTTTGCTCTCAAGTACTTAAAAGCTTGTCCTTCCTGGTCCATGGCCTTCACAAAGTTTTTCATTAGTCCCAATTTAATATGTAATGGGGGAAGGAGAACATCCTTAGGATCTACAAGAGGCTCGTAAACTACATTTTTCTCATTAAGGTTCAGGTCTCGTGTAGGCCAGTTCATTTTTTTATAGTGAGATTTTCTATCCCGACTGTCCCACAGACACAAAAAACAACAGTACTTGGTGAACCCTAATTGCATTCCTAGGAGTATAGCAATGACTTTCAGATCACCACAGATGTGCCACTTGTGTTGTTCATATTTGATTGATTGGAGAAGTGTTTTCATATTTATATACGTTTCCTTCATGTGAACTGCATGACCTATAGGAATAGAGGGTAGCTGATTTCCATTATGCAGAAGTACAGCTTTCAAGCTTAGTTTTGAAGAGTCTATAAACAGTCTCCATTCAGATGGAGTGTGATCCAAATTCAAGCAGTCCATCAAACCATTAACATCAGAACAAACTACGAGGTTTTCTTTTTTCTCAAAAAAAGGAAGCAAATCTTTTTGACGCTGTCTGTACTGAGATATTTTCACATCATGTTTTAGAAGATTCCACTGTTGTAGTCTTGACCCTAACAGCTCAGCCTTTTCCTTAGACAAGCGAAGATCTCTTATAAGGTCACTCAACTCTGCTTGACTAATTCTGTGCGGATCACTAGACCTATCGCTTACCTCAAAATCAGGGTCATAGGATGTAGAAGGATGGGTTGCTCCTTCTAAACAGTCTTCATCACCTTCCTCTAAAATTTCATAGTTTTGGGGTGGAGAAGGGACTGGCAAATTGTCTGAGTGTGGTACAGGCCGAAGAGCAGATGGGAGATTAGGGTATTTAACCGTTCCTCTTTTCTTCATAGATGAACCTTGCTTAATGGGAGGAGTTAAGCAGAAATAACAGTCGTCTGTATGATTGGTAGGCTCACGCCAAACCATAGGTACTGCAAAAGCCATTGCCCGGTTTTTATTTTTCAGCCACTCTCGCAATATGACGGAACAAGAATTACAACATATATGAGGAGCCCATGATTTATCTTGGTCCCCAACTTTCACACCAAAATAATGTTCATAGGCTGTCTTAACGATAGGTGTCATTTTACGTTTCTGAGCCTTAAATATTATTTCACCACATATATAGCAAAAGCTATCGACAGAATTCACACACTTTCGAGGCATTTCAGATCAGCACTTAAATTGATTTAAAAATCAACTTCACACGATAATTTCAATAGCATGGGATCTGGAATCAATTTTTTCTAAATCTCTCATTATCTTTTTTTGGATGATGAATACTTCACTTGCATGTGAGAAAGCACCCCATATCAGTATTCCATCGTTTATGTGGCAATGAGACATGCCAAAATATGCAATTCTAAGCACATCGTTCGAAACTAAACTCCTTAGTACTGTCAATGCGTAGCGACACCTTGAGAATTCTTTACATAATGATGTCGTATGTCCATTCCAATTTAATTTGTTGTCAAGGTGGAATCCTAGTAGACACACCTCTTTGTTAGCGCTAAAGTATGTTTCGCATTTTGTCAGTGTTTCAAATGACAACTGATCTAGTTTCCACACTTGTTGGTTACTTATGACAAAAGTTGCATCATCGGCATATAAAAAAACATCTGCTGTATCAATATATGTAGGAAAATCATTTATGTGTATAATAAATAGTATATAATGATAGCAAAGAGACTGCTCTATAGTTATTTGGAAGATTTTTCTTGCTTTTTTTGGGAATATGCTGAACGCAAGCAATCTTTCAACAAGAAGGAAAAACACCTTTCCTGAAAGACAGGTTGAAAAGTCTACAAAATATTGGTGCGAGTTCATTTGCGCACTTTTTAAGCACGATAACGGCACTTCATCAGGGCCAGACGCCTTGTTGATATTGAGCTGTTTCAAAATTCGCCTGACTAGACGTTGTCGAAAAGTAATTTCCGGCATTGTGTGGGATTCTAGTGTGGGAATACTAAGTGGCGCCTTTCCCAGAAAATCGACTGTAGAAGATTTGCTTTTTCTATGGCTGTTGTTGCAATTGAACCATCCGCTTGTGTTAGTGGTGGAATTGTTGATTTTGTAAAGTTCAGTTTCAGTTACTGACCAGAAGGATCTAGACCCGTTGGGATTGGCAAGCAGTTTATTCCTACTAGTCTAATTGTGAAGTTCTTTGCTTTCATTTATCCTAAGTTTGCAGCTGTTGAGAGCAATAACAAACCTAGATCATGGAGTGTTACAAAAATAAGGTGAATGTTCAAATTTTGCGGCCTACGTACATTCGATTAACGATATTTTCATTAGATTATGATGGTATGCTCGTCTCAAACATATGTTCAGAGTTTCAGCTGGTTAGCCTGTTCATAAGAGGCATAAAAGTTAGAAGTGTTTTGCGTGTTCGGCAATTCTCTGCTATCGACAATATTTTTGTGTAAATAATGAAATTGAGTGCCTAATAATACTAGATATGTAGACAATGGCAAACGGTGATTGTATTCTCACTGAAAAAACTGTTTAAAATAGTACAAACTGTCCACAGAAAATCGAGAAAATGTGAATGATAACGCTCGCCCTGTACGTCCCAGCATATCAAAAACCGATGAAAATGTTGAGAAAGTAAAAAAATTGTTATGGAGAATCGTTGAATCACTATTAGAGAAGTTGCTCAGGATGTCGGCATATCGGTTGCCAATGATATGCATGAATGGAAATGGCTCAGGAATTGTTATACCTATGATGTCAACGGCGATCCAGATTAGGCATATCTAAAGACATTCTAAATTTTCAATTAGTTTAACAAGAAATATGAAATGTATAACAATATAATCTTGTACAAAATAAATGGGTCAAATGTAATACTTCAAAACACTAAAAGAAAAATCCTCTCAGGTATCCTAATGGTGCGGGGTTTCCTCCTTTTCATGAAAGATGGCGCATGCATCTCCACCCACAGGCGATTTTGGTGAAATTTGTGACACCTGTGAATCATTGTATTTGTACCACGTGCCAGTGTAGGAATGTCTGCAGTATGCTGTGTAATGTGCGCTATTAGTAGACCCACTGTGATTCGAAATTTCATATAGATTATAACGACAAGGAGTCGTATTGACTGCTGCATAATTGCTCATATCTAATCCATTCAATGGCGACATTCAACTTGCCTGTAAATATTTCCTTTAGATTGGTAATCGATACAGGGCAGTTCATCTCGAAAAGGGTTCAAAATAGAAATAGTATTATCTGAACAAAGTTAATCTAAAATTGGATGTAGAGCTCGAAAATGTTGAAATATACAGGATGTTCCATTTGAAAAAATTGAGTTCCACTCATTTTTTCATGAGATCAAAGTATGTGCATTTTTTGAAGAACCTATATGAGGCAAATGAAAATATGACTCGGAGTGAAGATCCTCATAGTATCACTCCACTCCATTTCAAATTTGATCGTTTTAGTGCAAGAGGCGTGTAGGTCATATTGACTTATGCATACTGTGGAATTTTCAGGTTGATCCGTTTGCCAGAAACGGCTAATTAACGCTCATCATGTAAAGCCCTGTATAGTGGATTGTATAAATCGAAAACCATAGGTGGAAAATAGGTTTTCGTCCAATTCAGAAATTGTATATTTTTTATTACTAAAATCAACAAAATTCTTGCGTAACTGATCACAAAACACCAATAGCCATTTTTCTTGCAAGAGAAACCGTTTCAAATGATATTAACGCTTGCCAAATTGTGATGAATATCAGTAAACATCAAATGAAAAATCGTCCAAAGAATTTCTCAGTTTGGTTCCGAAAAAGCAATGATTACTGTTCAAGCTGATTTTTAGCTTTTCAAACCGAGACACAATTGTGTTCAGGAGTTGACTGACTCGAGACAAGTGTCTCCTGGACTTGACTGACTCGAGAGAATTGTGTCCTGGGCTTGACTGACTCGAGAGGATTGTGTCCAGTGCTCGACTATATCCAAATAATCGTCCCTAGACTCAACTGGAAACACAGTGCTGTTTCAGTCGGAACTTTTCTGCAATGACGAGGGATAATATCTCAAAACCGATCTGTAGGTGAACTACTCTGTTGTTTTCATCGTGATCCGCCTGTTGGATGAACTAGAAACATTTGCAAAAGTAACCTATATAGGTAAGGTATCTTGCAAAAATGTATGTTGTATATAATTCAATATCGACCGTGGTATAAGCCGGAAAAGTAGTCGTTCCCTGGCAGCTATTCACCGAAGCCTACTGTGTAGGTACGTTTCTTGATTTAATTCCGAAATTATCTTTTTACATATATAGAAACTCTGGCAAGCGATGTGGTCTAGCAAACCTACGTTCTGGAGTAGCAAATCGAATGAAAGGAATGAATTTTCTGTTGAGTGTGTTAGGGAGGAAGAAACTATTGAGGAATGTTCTCCGGTGTAGCAATAACAAATAATTGAAATAATAATTGCTGGGCCAAAATGTATATCAATTATTGCAAGTTCCAATAAAAATGTTTCGATAAAAGATGGAGAAGATAGAAAGTGCCTTGACCAAGGCAGGGTTCTGTAAGAGTACTTCGCTGGCTCGTCCTGAAAAATCATACTCATTTCTTTCAAGAACCTCAAGGCAATAGGCCATAATTATAATTCAGAGAACACGAAAAATCTGTGTCAGAGTAGTAGTCAATAGTTAATTAAAACGTGATTGACTGTATGCTCGTGAATTGTTATTGATTCAGTAGAATCTGTGAACAATCGACCCCCGGGGACTCGAAGTTCCTTTCAAACAGATAGTTTGTTGGTATGTTTCTTAGTTTGCACACTTTCAGAAGTAATACGCGTAAATTGTTGGGTGAACGAAAAAATTTTTCAGTAATGAACATAAAAACATATAAAGTTTTATTATAAGTTCTAATTAGTCAAGTTTTCTGTTTGGGAAGAAATGAAAAGATTAGAGGCTTGACACTAATACATAATTTTCTATTGAGCGTTCAACGTGGTATTTCAATTCAATTGGTTTCTCAGTTATATTAAATAATAATCAGAAGATTTTAAACTACATTTCGAACAATCGTGCCATATTTACTTGTCATACCATTTTTTGGTATCAAGTTCATTTATATAATTTTCAATATTCAGATCAACCACACCTATTGAAAAGAAACTATGATTAATTCACTCTCTTGAAGATGATTATTTGGTGATTGGAACATGTGTCGGGGAATTGAATTTTCTGGTCACCCTAAAAAATATCCCAACAACGGAAATGATAACCGATGTAGAGACCACTGCTCACTGTGGTGGACTGAAGATACCTCTGAAAAATACTACCTTCTTAGCCTCATCATCTCATCATCTGAAAGTGCTCACAGTCAACAAGTTGATACCACAATTCCTATAGATGAAAACCAGGGTCATATATCAATAATTTCTTCAGTCACAACAAACTCATAAACTTTTGTTTGAAGGTGGTTAACAATGTTTTAAAGTGAATTTCATTAATTTGGACTCCCATTGTCTAATATGATATAAAATGATTTGAAATACCTGAAAGAAACGATAAAATGGAGAAATAAACTAAATCGCAGAAAAAATGCAAGCAAAAAATTTAAAAATTGAACAATTGAACAAAAAAAATGAAAACCAAAAGATTTGAAGCCAAGTTACTTCACGACGTTACGATTGTCAGTATCGTTTTCGGGTAAACACAACCATCAAATGATTTTGCGATAGGGCTACGAAAGTATGCAATTCTAGAGAAAATATCACAAAGTAATCAGATACTAGTTCCAAATTTGTAAGGTCATAATACCTGAAAAGCAATTGAAAAAAATTACACTGAATGACCGATATAAATCCGTTAGGAAAATGCTATTAATCTTCTAAGCTGCATCATCACTATGTATATATTCCTTCATAATCCCTTCATCTTAATTACATAGAAACTGATCACTGTAATTTGAAGCTGAAGTAAACTCTTGTTGTTCAAACCTTCAGGGTTGCGAACATATGAGAAAACCTCCCAAAGGGTCGAAGGGTTCGATTGCCTGGGCCGTATCGGTAGCCCGCATTGGCTTGATGATTCCAAAACTGAAATTGAAATTTTTTGTTGCATTACATTCTTGAGGTA